TCCACTCACAAATACTCCAATTTGCACCTAGGAGTTCCTCTTTTATAAATGCAGACAGATTTTTGAACATCACACAAAGGCCAAACAAGCAAATATTTGCACATGTTTGACCTGACCTCAGTATGGGTTGGGAGTTATGTCTTGATATTAAAACAGAGTTGCATATGAGTGCTGAAAAACAGATGTATTATGTCACCAGCATATAAAAGTATACATATGCATTTGCAATTCTGTCAGCTTTCTTTGATCCTTGTTGGAAATACATAGTTCTTTCTAAACTTGTTTCCATGTCCACGGGACACTGGATTGAGATCAGAATAACTAGCAGGTATTATTATTTAACAGACCTAAAGTCTGGTATTCCTCCTTTCCCCTTCTCCCAGGCTTACAGTACCCATGATTAATTTGTCCTCACTTTCCTTGTATTGGGTTCCCAGATGATACAGGGAGTAGAATCATATATATATGATTGTATATAGACTCTTACAATCATATATAGTAGTTTTTACATTTTTTCTGTTTCCTCATGAAGGGGTAGAAGGGAAGAAATGCAGCATATAAGGGAAAAAACTCCATTATTCAAAATGCAGAACAGCTAAATAGGTCATTCAAGTCTTATAATAATCTCCAGTATCCAGCAGCAGGTGATGACAGTATAGTCAGGAACAGAAGTGAAGAATACAGGATGCTGGCATTTTTTGTAGAGCTTAAAGGTCTCAGGAAAACTGGATTGTCTCTAGCACATGCAATGCCCTAGGGTAACCCTTAAATACATTATCAAATGTAGGAAGGCAAAAATATGTATGAGAATATGCAGAATAGCATCACGGCCTTAAAATACCTGCTTTTTAAGCCACTCTGAGTGGCTTAAATACGATCTAAATTCTTTTAAATAGTCCTGAAATTAATGACTAGCCCTCACTCTCCCTACGGCAGAAACCACTTCTCCAACCTCATTCCAGCACTAGCCAGTACTAGCTAATGAATTGAGGTATATGAAAATATCACTTTAGCCAATGAAATAATTTTAAATATTCTTCTCTTTACAGCCTGTAGACAGTAATTAATCAGTTGTTTTTGTGAGCAACTTTAAGTTCTGAGCATTAGTATTTAGTTGTGCTTGATGCAGTGCTCTAAAATCTAATTTAGCTGTGAAGCCATTTTCAGAAATGTGCCCACCTTTATCCAAGAACCACTAGATGGCAATGCAACAAGCCGCTAGAAAGCTCTTCGATGAATCAGTATCTATGACCTTGATTCATTTATATAATTAAGCAATAGACTAAGACAGTCTCTTTTTCCAGGCAGTACTGCTATGTTTGCAAACAGATTTCTGCTCCATGCATTTCTTACTCCTACAAAGCTGAGCAAAGTGTTGGAACTAATCTACCTGAAACATTGTTGCTTAACACCATCCCAAAACAGAAACATCGAACAATATTCTAAAAGATGAGTGACCACAGTTGCCCAGTTTCCAGGCACTTTTAAGCATCTTTCAGAAATCCTCTTTCACAGGCTGGCTCATTCAACTTATCGAGCAGGACCACACATCTGCTGCTGCCCTGTCTTCTCAGGGTGAGAACCATAATGTGGGTCTATAGGTGGTTGAATAGCATGTAACAAGGTATAAGTGTCTAGGCTTCAGCTCAAGCCTCAAATGGTCAAATATCCTTACATTTATATCTAAGTGTAATTACTCTTATTTAAGAACAGTATCTCTGGATTTAATTATTATAATCTGCCAAGAAAACACATACATTAGGCACTTTGCTTAATGCAGTCCTTGGTTTTGTATTCCGTCATCCTGATAAAGTGACATAACAAATAAGATTTCACTCTTTTATTGAGCTACACACTGGGCTGACATCTGAGTTTGCTGTAATAATGCTTACAATTTGAGTCTTCATTTGAGCATTTTCAGATACTTATTCCGGGCTTACAAGACTGGTCAACAGACTAACCGTGTGCAGATTACAAGTAAACTCCTCCTTGATGAAAATTCCAGTGAGTCAGTTAAGTGGCCATTTCTGGAGCTCACAGAGCAAATACTGAGCACTCAGCAGTCAGTGACTGCTGAGAAAATACCTTTAAAAGTTAGAATCCCTAATAGCACAGCGCTAGCTCACCAGAAAAATGTAAAAATTACAGCTTCACTGAGGATAGCTGTGGTTCTATACATCCTTCTTGACCTACTTTTCTTAAACAATCTGACCTAAAAACTCTGCACCTGCAAAAATGTGGGTCAGACGTCTCCTATCTAAGGCTGTATTTAGTAACTTGAACAAAAATAGCTTTTTATTCATTATCTAGTGTGCTGAATCATTTTGCATCAATGTTACTGTGCTATCAATGCATGCTGCCAGCAAGATTCAAATAAGTCTTATGTTACTTATCATAGCTATATAGTCTGGAAACAATTTGCAGGTGCTGGTGTATAAATAAAATAGAAGTTGAATAAAAAGTAGCCCTGCCAACCTGTTTTTGAAGCACACTTTCAGAAGCGCTTCCTGAATTTCATCATAGCAAATGCTTTCCAAACTTCCTAGAATGATTACAGAAAGGAGAAACACTAAAAAACCTAAGCGTGTGAAAAATCATCTTTATCGCAGATTTAAGGAAATGTGAACATGACACACCAATGAAACAAACTACCTACATGAAATGCAATTCTTCCTCATTCAAAAGATTAGCTTTTGCCCTTTGGACAAAAGTCACTTTAATACTTGGGTCCTAAAGTATTATTTCCATTTATATTAAAAAAAATCATTTCAGATTAGTTTTCTTTTTTTTCTTTTTTAAATGTTGTCATTGGTAGAAACTTTGTACTTTTTTTTTTTTTTAAATGCTGACGATAAAGATGACAACCTCTTGCTTTGAAATTGCTATGTATGCCACCAAGTTGTGTGTCAAAGAAACTACATTTCTTAACTTTCTCTCAGGTGTATATTCAACTCTCAGCTGGTTATTCACTCTCAGCTGCTGTCTTGAGCATACAGACTGGGAAAAATACTAGTTAAATGATTGAACTCTCTTCTGCCAAGTGACAAGCACCTTCACTTGTCACCATGATCTGAAATGCTTGTAATGGTCAGGTCCTTAACGATTCACTTCACTGCAACTCAGAAGCTATATGGCATACCTGCATGAAGTAAGAGGTATATTACATTTCGTTACTTGCTTTTGTTACTTTCTAGAAGTAAATATTCATTGACAAACATAGCACAAATGATGGCTGTGAATATTGATAGATAACTCAATATGTGGCTTTTTGTAAATATTCAGCACCTACTCTTCAGAACTATATGTAGCAACAAAACACTCGGATGCTATTGAATTAGTTTGGTTTTCAAATGAATACACAGATGTGTATGTTTCATTTTGGTTTGAATTTCAAAATCCAGTTAGTTCCTCATGAATATGGATTAAATATGCAGGTAAGTACCTCTCCAGCACACAGAGGATCACACCTAGAGATCATTCTTCTGAAAAATAGAAATAGTCAGGAAAATTCTGATGCAAGGCTTCCTAAAAAAAATTATCATCTTTTTAGGCAAGTGGTAAATGATATATTTCGTATCATCAAAAAATTGATTCTACACAAATGACTTCAGTGGAGTTCTTTGAGACCTAGGCTTGCTGCCAGCTTTCTCATCTGACCTCCCAAAAGGCTCAGCTGAGTTGCTGAGGATACGAGACTCCCAAGGACGGACCCAGGGCTTCCAGACTTGGCAGCTGCCAGAGCAGGTCCTGCACATCCCTTCAGCTTCAGCAGACAGTAACTTGAGCCAGACAGACAGCGTAACTTGAAGAAACTCCACAATGCAAGCCAGCTATCTTTACCTGAAAATTTTCAGACTTTTGACTTGTCTTTACTAAGAAATAGAAAATTTACAAACGAACAGCTCATCCTCTCTTTAGAGAGGATGGAAACACTGCTTCCATTCATGTTGGACCCTTCCTTAACAAGGCGCGAGTCAGAGTAAATACCGAGGGCTCTCCATTTATGCACGAATTATATAACATTTACCTCTGAATGCACCGAATGATGTTATATAAGAAGTCAAGATCACATAGTATTTTTGCAACAGTAAATAGTCAAAGACTGCAAGAATCACATCAATCATTAAACTGAGTAAGAAAATGCAACTGTTTCATAGGTATATTTCAGAAATTTGGCATAAATATCAGCCATGGATGAATCTAACGCCATCTCAGAGAGCTATAGGAGAAATAACTGCATGTCAGCAGCATGAACAGCTATCATCCTTTATGCTGTTCTGTGTTTATTAAACTTTTCTGGAGGATTAGATCCTGCTGCTGTGGACTGCTAGTAGGATTTTCACACAGACTTAGAAAGACAGTTTGTGCACATACTTGCAAACTAGGAATGTACTGCCCTTTCTCCAAGCAACAGAACCCGATATCTGAACTAATACTCAAGATGATATATTCTGTGTGCATATGGATAGATCTGTCAGGACTTCATTAATGATTAACTCTTTATCTGAGGTTAAAGAGTCTCAACCACCCAGCTAAATGCTTGGCAGGTGCAAGTCACTAAATTCTGCATCAGTGCCAGGAAACTAAAATGTCAGTAAAAACTGCATTAAATAATAGTGACCAAATACTCAATGCAATTAGCACCAAGGCAATGAAAGCCTCTCTAATGAATTTACTGAGAATGAGTCCCAAAGAGATAGCAAGCAAAAGAAAAAAGCATCAATCAATTTAAAAATAAAGCACTGATCCTACTTAGAGATTCCTAGACCAGATTCTCAAGTATATTATAATCTTTGTACTCTAAAGATACCAATTCAACTGTCCTAACCCCTAGAAATGTAATGAATAAATTCTTTTAAGAATCTTTAAAACTGTCTTAAAGAATACTTTCAATAGAGAAGTCCATTATCAAATAATCATAAAATTTATATTAGGAAAGAGGCAGATATCTGCTTCCATGACTTCTTTACACTTTTAATCAGTCTGTTTTCCTTTAGACAAAACTATAAAGAGAGGAGACATCCAGAGAAAATTTGCCATCACCTTCTAACTCTGGTGCAGACAGAAAATTCATTAACAACACATAGGTAGTACAAAGTAAACGGGAATTGGGACAGCTGTCCTGTCAGGGCAAAGTGCAAGACATTCAAACGGTTCATCTGTTAAAGTCATGAAAAGTATCCAGTTTGTAGGACAACTAATAAATATATGAGAATTTTTCGTGATAAAGTGCTTTTAACTGTATGTCCTTGCCTAGTTGTCTTTTGTGGATGGATTTCTGTAAAAGTCAGACTGACCATAGCAGAATAGTCATAATAAAGCAAGACTGGCTGTTCTGGGCGCAGACGCTAGTAAACACAGTGCTACCATGAGTCATTTTCGCCAAGAGTGATCAAATCTGCTTCTTTGTCAGTGTTCCAGTGACGGGGACACTTGCAACCAACCTGGGGAAAAAAAGAAAGAAGGGCAATGAGAAGTGGAACACTGACAATCTTTGATCATAGTGAGCAAGCAGAGAATGCATTCAAGTTGAGCTTGCATTGTTGTTTGTTAGACATACTAGAAACAGTATTTTCCTTGTAGCACAAGGATACTTGAAGTGAGATCACAGATAGAAAGAAACCCCACAGATCTGGAACCTCATTATATCTTTAGAGTCTCTTTCTACAATACAGACATCCTCTCAATAGGTTAAAAAAAGTGACAGAGACTGGTATCAGAACTGCCTATACTGGAATAGATATCTGAACTGCTAAGGCTACAGTGGTGCTTAAGGAATAAAGAGAAAAAGTCATGTTACCCATGGCTTACCAGATCTGCTATTGCAACCTTACTTGGATAACAGAACAATAAACCACCATATATGCATCCCACTGGATAAAGTAATCGAAAAAAATAGTAGTTAAGATAGGTATTCCGAAAAACTCAGAAACCTAGTTGTTGGCCTAGAAACACTCTGGCAGCATCTCTGCTGTAGATGATCTAAGGACAAGCTCACATTCCAGCATACCAATTTAGTCGTTGCTTTAAAATATAGTTAGCACGTGTGAACTTTTATATCCAAAAATAAGCTTCTAAAACAATTTCCAATTTGCAGAATGCCCAATAATTTCTAAGGACCATTGGATCAAATCCAGAAAGACATTAAGAAAGTAACCTTCACCACTATTTCCTGAATGTGTTTTGTTTTTCTTTTTTCCCCTCTTAACAAGGCTTGATCCGACTGTCTGGCTGAACATTAATCCTCTTTCACCAAGTACCAAACAAATGATTGCTTCATTAATACACTGCAAATCCTCAAGGTATAAGTTACAGATGATTCAGTATAAAAGGCAACCCAGGCTTGCTTTTCACCACAGCTCTTAGCTGGCAAGCAAGGAGAATACAGGTAAGTTCTCATCATGCCTTACATTAGAAGACATCTTTTGAACTGTAAACATCATATGCAATTAATTATTTTTTAAAAATATACCTTTTGCTCTTGCTTCTTTTTTTTTTTCCATAAAAGATAGGATACATTCTCTGTATAGAAACTTAGTAAAAATACTTGACTGAAAATGGTATGTTGCTTAGATGATTTGATGATTATTCTGCATAGGATACTTGAAGTCATTTAGGAAAAAAACAAGCTACTTTAACAACCACAGATAGATTTGCAAACTATTTGTTCCTCTCTTCTCAATGCTCACTCATTTTTTAAAGTTTGCTGATAGATATACTTGAGGATAACATGAAGACTCAGCTTCTGCTCCTTTCTAGAAATAATTCTTGTTGAAAATAATTCCATTTTTCTCCAGTAAAAATGCATTTTCTGCTTTATACACAGGATGAAGACGGTTAACTGTTACGTGCTGCTCTTCTGCTGGAAAGCAATCTGCTGCAATACCTGTGAGCTCACCAATATCACCATAGCAATAGAAAGAGAAGAATGTGAATTTTGCATTACTGTGAATGCCACATGGTGCTCAGGATACTGCTTCACAAGGGTGAGAATCCTAAGTTTAAAATTCAAGACAAGGAATTCATTATTGCAAAGCATTGTTCAAATGTGTTTCAACAGCTTATAACGAATATATGGGCAGGGTAAGCCTTGTGAAATAAGTTTAGTAGCTGTTGAGCTATCTAATAAGAAAGTAGAAATACAGGTTATTTCAGAGAAGGATGAGAGGATGCAAGTAAAATTTAGACTTTTACATGACTATATACACCTTGGATTCTTAGTTATAGATTATGCAAAGCAACAAACAAGAAAAAAACATCTTTCAACTTGGTTTGAAAGCTACATAAAATTGTGTTCCTCATGGCATATGTAAACACATCATGAGGTATATTATGATATTTTCAAAGCCTCTTGAAAAAATACATTTTATGACATACAATTTGACAGGGTATTTTCAGAACGCATCAGTCATTCTGTCAGTTCATTAAAAACTGTGGTAAAGAAATTTAGGTGCATACATTACAGTGAAGTTAGGCACCTCCAAACCTGTGGTTCCTTCTGTGTCCCTGAATTCCAATAAAATCAGCACATCCTGTAATCCCCAGTATATGCAGCATCTGACGTAATTTATAGAGAATCTTATTCCTTTGTAGACAGCTAGCTCACAATAGTCCCTGGGAACTGCTCCTGTACTGCTGAGATGAGAATGTAATCCTATTAGCTTGAATTTAAAGAGATAATGTATATAAATTTGATAAACTATGTTTCAGAGTACAAACTTCAATACTGTATCAGGTGACGACATATAAAATTTTATATTTTGTGCTGAGTACTGACAAGAATCAGTAATCATAATTCATAAATTTTATTATGCTTATATGGAGTAACTGCAGTTGGATGTATGTTAATCTGGATCTTTGCCTTCTGTTCAATTTGTGGTTGCAAGCAGATATAACAAAACGGACATCACTCTGTAGATTTCTCTGCTTTTACAATAGGAAATAATTTGAAGATTCAAGCCACTAATCTGCAGGCTTATCTGGCTCTGACACAGAATTTTACTGAAAGGAGATATCTAAAATTCTTAAGTACACTTATAAAAGCTGCTCCAGAGCTTTTTGATTTTATTGGTTTAATTTTGACATCAGAGTTTTTTTCTTTAATGAAAAATTAGATTGCTTACTCCTTGGCAAATTGTTGAAAAGTTTTCTTTTTTTGTAATTTTCAGGATCCAGTATATAAGTACCCACCAGTATCATCTGTTCAGCAAACATGTACCTTCAAGGAGGTTGTGTATGAAACTGTGAAGATCCCTGGCTGTGCTGGCCATGCCGAATCTTTGTATACTTACCCAGTAGCTACAGGGTGCCACTGTGAGACCTGTGACACAGACAGCACTGACTGCACTGTGCGGGGACTGGGACCATCCTACTGCTCCTTCAGTCAGAACGGAAGCAATCAATGACGGGCACTCGAGGTGGCAGTTTGGTTTCATTTGCTTTAAATATTTTACGTTTACTGAATGGGCTTGAAGGGGGACATAATAGGCAAGGCTCTTTAGAAACTTTGAAGTTTCAAGTTTGAAACAAAGCCTTAAGGCCAAAAGCTACTGACTAAACTTCTCTTCAGGCCTCCCTCTCTTACCTCTACCATCAACTAGCTTCCTTCAAATCATTTTCATAGGGCTATAGGGCTCAGCTTCTGGTTTTCTGCTTCTGTCTCCTCTTTTGCTCTATTTCACTCGCATTCTTCAAATTTCTTTATTTAACCTAGTTCACTATTTTATGATATCCTATAGGCTTTTAAAAAGTTCCCAACCTTCCATGTTTTCACCCTTTTTCTGTCTCTTCATAGATCTCACTTGTTTTTTTTTTTTTTTGAAAAGCCTTACAGCACTTTAACAACCAACATCTGTGCCCTTCCTTGACAACTGTTAGACTGTAAACTTCTTTTAGATGAGGCCTTTTTCCACAAAATATTCCATATAGTCATTATGCTCTATAAACAACAGCATGTTTGTTTCAATGTTTCAGAGCCAAAATCCAGAGTAATGCTTTTTTTTTTTTTTTTTTTTTAAGCAACTTAGGAGCCAAAGTCCTATGTTGAAATGTTGAATGTTACCTGAACCTCTGTGCCCTATCAGTAAGGCTTGTTAGCTCGGTCTTGGGGATCAGAATAACACAAAAGACATACTCCCTATTTCCTACCTGGCTAACTTGAAGCTTTAAGAAAGAGAATGCTCAGCTGTGAGCTTGCTATTTTCACCTGTGCAAAAATATGTCATGTTGTTTAAGCAATTTTGTCAGCTTTGCTATGTATCTTATGAGAAACACCATATTTCTTCTCTTCATGAAATAGAATTTAAAATTCAAGTTTATTTTAACATTACTTAATGTAGATTCTCACAAATGATTTCACAATGAATTTAAAGGCACCTGATCAAGACAGTGCAAACTTGGTATGTTAACATACCTTAAAAGTAGTTCTTAGTAGTTCCCTCCAAGAGCAGAAGTAGGTTGAATTCTACTGAAATCTAATTCTGCAGCAAGCAGTATGAAGTTGAGATGGACTGAGAGCAAGCTGGAGCACTGAAACAGAATGGAAAATTATCTTAAGATACTGCAGAAATTATCTAAACACGAAAGAATGAAATTCCATCACAAAAAAAGAAGATATTGCTCTTCAGCCGAAACAATTTTCTTCACAAACAGACTGGAGAACAGCCAGTTGAGGAGCACTTCTGCACAAAAGACTGGGGGAGTTATACAAGCTAAGGATGAGTCCCCAGTATCACACTGCTGTGGAAAAGTCTAACACAGAAGTCTATAAGACAAAGTAATGCTGCCACTCCATTCAATACTAGAAGGGCATCAGCTGAGTTTTTGGACACAGAAGTTGAATCATAACAGTTGGAAAAGACATTCAAGTTCATCAAACCCAACCATAAAGACACAGAAAACTTGAAGAAAGTCCACAGAAGAGTAGACTAAAAAAGAGGACTTAGGAGAAAAAGACTTAAACATAGTTGGGACCAGATGAGAGCCTTTTACACTTGAAGACTGTTATAAAGAGAAAAGGAATAGTCGGTTCCTCATCCTCATAGTGAAAGGAACAACTAGCGAAAGATTCAGAGTAGTCATTAACAGAAACTTCCTAAAGCTAAAGACTACTAAACATTGAAGTTGTCAGTGGAGTAGAGAAGCCTGTAGAGTACCACCTATCACGGACATTCAAGAACAGGTCAAACATCTAATGAGAATGACAGAGGCACAGCCCACCTGTCACGAGGCAAGGGAATGAAGTAGATGACCTCCTGAGGTGCATTCCAACACTATTGCTCTAGGACATTACCAGCTGACATGATAGCTTAAAAATCCTTTACACGTTTAAGGGAAGTTTATGTTTGTTACTCTGGATCTCTCAGTATAAGTATTTTAACTTATTTCATATTTTTTTTCTACTGAAACACTATAGTTTTCTTAATATTATTTTATTTATAAAATTCATTACCATAGACATTTCCTTCAGCCTAGTGAGTAGTAAAATATGTAAATAAGATTTCCTCTCACTTATCTCAGTTCTACAGAGGAGCTGACTTCAATTAAAATCAAACATACTCTTCATGTCAGGAATTATTCCTTTCTAGATAACAATTGTTTGAAAAACAATTGCAAAATGGATAGTAGCTAGCAAGAAAAAGATACAGAAAAATATTGGTTTTCAAAATACATCTGCAAAAAGAAACTGTATCTTATGTTGTGCCTTTTGGAATAAAAATAATTGTTTCTCTTCTGTTATGTTGTTCTTCCTTAATAGGCCAATTAAATTTTATAGTCTGTGTAATTTATTATGTTTTAAATGACACTTTTTTCCCCAACTACCATTAGGTTGCTCATGTAATTAATACCATGTCTATCTTAGTGATATTTGCATTGCCTTAACAGGCAAAATATGAGTCTCATTACTTGAAATAATGGACTGCTATAGTTTATTAATGCTACAAGGAAATACTATGTAATTTTAACACAAGAGAATTGTGGATCGAACCCAAGTTATTAGCAAATATCTTTCTTAAACTATAGGAATTAGACCCACTCTGTAGCTGTGTCCACACCGGTGTCTTATAAACTAGCTTGTCCATAAACACAAAAATTATACAGATCACAATTAATCAATGGGAAATGCAACCAATCATTTTTTATTCTGCTAAGGAATCTAGTCAGAACTTGAGTCCTGGAAGTGTAGCTGACAGGGTACCTAGGGTAACTAACACAGCCGAAAGAGCAGATGTCAGTATCAGAGCACGAACAAAAGCAAACCCAGCAAGGAGTCACTGCAGGCCTCCAGACTCTCCCTTCCCTCTCTTTCACACATCTTAGGCACCAGAGCAGAGTTAGATGCCAAAACTTGAGATTCAAAATATAAAGAAAAAATGCTTTCCATACAAGCACCAACAGCTTCAAGCAAGGTGCTTGAAATACGTTTTTCAAATACTCTCTTAACCTCCCTGTCCAGAACCTAGATGTGAATCACCGGAATCTTTCTTGAAACTTTGCAAAGATATGCAATCATACAGCAAAATCTTCTTCCTCTCCCCCTCATCCCCTCAAATACCAATAAGGAAGCAGAAACTTTTTAAATTTATCATCATCTTCTGATCATAAGCAATTCCCCAGAGGGAATATCTATATCTCTGCATACCTATAAAGGACAATTGAGTACATGTCAACAATAAATATTTCTGATAATATCAATAAGCTTTGAATACAGGCATGCAATTATGTGTAGATTAGAGTTGGTCTTGTATCCAGGTGTGGAATTAATTCCAAATAATGCTAACTCAACATTTGTTTTTTTTCTGTAGACTGACTGCAAACATTTTATTAACAGTAATTTCAATAAAATCCTTCCCAGGCTGCCTGGACCTGAAGAGATCTTTGGCTACTTTCAGTAGTTTGTCAGACAGATTTTGACTTTGTTTTCCTCAAAACATGCTTTCTGCACAATGCCCAATAACCATTTCTTTAACTTACTTATGCATCTTTTTTTTTTTTTCCTTCTAAAATCTCTAGTAAGGATCTCTGCACGCCATAAATATTATGGTAGTTTGAGGTCTAAATCTGTTTTGGATTATTATTTCAGAAAAATGTTTAAGAGTAATTTATAGTTTATATGTTACTTATCTACTTCTGTCACGACAAATAGATGGCAATTCTCTCAAGAGGCAAAGTCTTAGTATATAATATGCTGTTAAATTAGTGGGAATGCTTTTTAGACATACTCTTAAGATTCAGAAGGAGATTTTCAAAGGTTCCCATCATGTGCTTAAGTCTGCCCACTGAAATTGATAGGTAAGTTTTTCAACTTCAGTAGAACTATTTTGCCAACACTGAACTTATCAGAAACTGAATATTAATTCTAATTCCAAAAGTAAGCTCTTGAAAAGACCAACTTTTTAGAGAAACTTCATGTTTTTCAGGACGTAAAAATTAAAATATCCTGAAGTATCTTTACTGTTATGCTCCCCTAGCTAAGCAAAATTATCTATTTTCTCATGACCCTGAAAAAACAGTATCTATAACTCTTCTGTGAGTGGTAAAGGAGTACATACATGCTGAGTCGTACCTTAGAGCTCTTTAGGAGGGACAATAACATAGGATTCAACAGGATTCATTCAAATACTCAGATGTATAGATAAACTACATGAAGACTAATTACCTCTGTTGTCACATCTTTGAGTGAATTACTACTCACCTATAATTTATTAAGCAGACAGTTTGGCCTTGATCTTATGAGCATATGGCAGTCGTACTTCAAGCTCTCCAGACATCAAGACAGGAACATGAAGTGCCACAACCGTATTCATAGCACAAATAATCGAAACGATTGCTTAATCCCAACCACCTTTTAGGCAGAAAGTACACGCTTTTTTGAAGTCACTGATAAAGTCTCAGCATAACTTTGCCTAATCATTGCCAATGGTCTGCTCTCATTCCCAATTTAAGTTCTATAAATCATTCTTCCTAGTTTAAAATGAGTTAATACTTTCCTTTGTGATTTTGGCTTATAACTGGGCTCATAAAATTTAAGCATGAAATGTAAATGTCTTCTCTGACATAAGTTATGAGAATTTTAGTCATCAACAAATTCTTAGACAATTCTGACCTAAAAGAGCAACTCTAGGACTCAGAATGATGTAAGTGAGTTTCAGGCTACTCTTCCTATGGGCTTTTTGAACAAAGGAACAAAGGCAGTTGACTATGGCATAATAATCCAATTTCTATCTCAGTAAGTCCATTTTGCCTGTCAATATTCAATATCTAGCCACACACTTCACCTTCTTTAAAAATACAAGGAACTAATATCATTGCTAAAACTGTCAAAGAAATAGCTGAGTAGTTAATCTGAATAATTGATTTGGAAGTGATAGCCTTGAAATCAGCAGCTCTTCTTTATTCAGGATGGGAGCAATAAACTTTTTCTGTATATCTCATGTTTCTCTTCAATTTATGTTATTAATATTAGCTATCAAAACCTTGGTCTTTCAGTATGACTTACGCTGATAGACACTACAACAGCTCACAAGGCTGCAGTCTCTGGGAAATACAGCAAACTAGACAGCCACGGGGTTAGAGAAAGGACATACTTTCAAGAAATGAAATGTCAGTGTCCCAAAACGTGTAGGCGGGAAAGAGAAAGAATTATCTACCTATGCTTTAGTCATTAACCACTGGTTTTCCTTCACATAACAACCTTAAGATACAAGAGCTAAGGTCTTCACACTTATGGTCTAATTTGTTGAACTTTTCTTTTTTTCTAACTTTTTACCCCTCTCCTGCTCAGAGGTATAATTTGTGTATGAGAAAAAAATATAGCTCTAATATTTTAGGATTATATTGTTATGCTAACTTATGTTGAACACTATAGAAAGAGGTATTGCCTGAATATAAGGCTAACCCTTAAAACACTTTAAGATATTGGCATTCAAGGCACATAAGGTAATATAGCATTACCAAAAGGCTTTCAGCAAGAACTGTGAACATCAAGCTTTCTTTCTGCTTTTCTAGAAAAATCTACATTTGAAGACACAGAAGATACACAGCTCTAGGTATTTACATTTCAAGTTTCATTGAACTATAATCTTAGTCTTCATTATTTCACCATCTCTCTCGTTATATAGGATTGGTAAAAACATACAGATGCTCTGAAGAGCCTGGGAATGAATACAGAAAGCACAGCGTGATTTTATATAGTGACCTTGATGTAATGGTATGGAAACTCCTGATCAAAATTATAAGATAATGAAAAAGGCATTAACAAAGCTAACTTAAAAAAAATAAAGAATAAAGGCAGCCTAAAATTAACTTTGTCCCACTTAAAAACAGTCCCAAAGACAGCTGTCAAGCTACAGACCCAGTCCAATCAATAAAATTTCTTCAGTGTGCTCCTTTTAGAACAGGTTTTAGAATACATACATTATTTTTTTATATACATATATATATATATATATATATATATATATATAAAGAAGCTAAATCGCATGCGATCTAATGCTTTAGGTAGAAGGCTGAATTACACCAGTGTATTG